CCAACAACTGTGCCAAGTTTGGAAGAAATTGGTGCAGCGGTTACCAAGATATACACATGTAACCATAAGTGGGCGTGGCTACGCCCATTTTCCAAAAATTTACAATATTCTTATTTTTGGTCTGAAAGTTATTGTAAATATCAATTTTGAGTGAATTATCTTCAGTTCAGTTCAGTTTCAGGCAGTTTTCGTATTTCTGAAAATTACCGTTATATGGGAGGTAGGCGTGGTTATTGTCCGATTTTGCCCATTTTCAATACCATCCGTCCTACGCCCGAAAGAAGTACACGTACCAAGTTTCGTTAAGATATCTTAATTTTTACTCGAGTTATCGTGTGCACAGACGGACGGACAGACGGACGGACGGACGGACAGACAGTCACCGCTTAATCGATTTCTCTTTTCATTCTGATCATTTATGTATACATTTGTCTATATCTATCTCGATTCGTTTTGGCTGTTACAAACAACCGTTATGTGAACAAAATTAATATACCCTTGTGCACAAGTGCGCTCGGGTATAAAAATTTACATTTTTGGCCGTTTTCGGTCATTTGTGTTTTTTTTTTTTAAATGAAAGATGTACTAGATATTAGTCGGATCGCAAAAAATTCGGATTCATCGCACCAAAAATCCTTCAATACGAATTTTCAGAGCAATCGAAAATCATAAACTTTCGCTCAAAAATGGGTCCCGCCTAAAACTTGAATTTGATATTAGCCGTGTTTTATTTGTCCAGAAATTTAAGCTATTAGCTTATTTTGTGTGGAGGACTTACCCAACATAATTATATTGGCTTATGAAAACCTATCTTGGCTTGTTTATTGAACAAGAGGCATTACCATTCGCATCAGAAATTTTCTCCTTCAGCCAATCAGAAAGAGGCAAAAACTTACTTTGACACTATTTGCAGTCAAACAACTGTCAAAATTAGGCTAACATAGGAAATAAGCTAATTTCGTTTTATTTGACCAACATTTAGCTATTTGCTTGTGATGGTTGAATAAAACATGCCTATTAATGATCTAAAAATTACCTAACCAAGAAAAATTACTATCACTAAATCAGCGTACCCGAATTGAGGTACGTCGTACAGTGGGGCAAAAAAGGTTGCTGTGGACAAATCAATTTTCAGAGCCCAAATATTAACCGATTTCAAGTTTCTTTTTTTTTTTAAATAAAAGATAATTAAACTTCGCATCGATCCATCTGTAGCGATTTTTTAAAAAAGCTCTAGTTTTTTGTTTATTCATGTTGAAAAATTAGAGAAAAAGATTTTACGTTTGAATGCTGCCACTTTTTTGGAAAATACATACTTGAAATTAATCTCAAAAGCCTGCACTTTTTTAAAAGAGCATTCATAAACATTTTTCCATAGGATGCATTTAATAAAACAATTTATTTAATTTGTTATCTATACCAATATATACATATTTTGAAATCCGTTTTTTCAGTTCGAAAAACTCGAGAACAGCTGTTCCGTTATTTTTGAAATTTTGGGTATCGATTCTAAGATCTAAGGATGATAATAGAACAAAAATAATTTCGATATATCAAAGCGGCGTGGCACCTCGCCTACAAACTGAAGTTTTCACACAACATATTTCTGGAAGTATTCATCGTAGAGCGCTACAACATTGTATATAGAATGGGAGTTATAAAAGAAGGGGGCGTGGCACCTCAACAAACTGAATTTCTCATATTAGAAAACGATGATGGCGTTTCCACGCCAGCCGAATCACGTAGTGATGGTTTTTTGAATACATCTCAGGGTTCTACAAACCTATTAATGGCTTTTGGTGGCAGTGGTGCCTTTTTTGTTCGACCCAACTCGCCTACCATAAGCGCAATTTCTCAGGCTTTGGGAACAAGATCGCAAGTTTTCTAAAAGACTGTGAAGACCCAATGAACCGAGATTTTTCAGGAGTTATACCAAGGGCTGGTTTCTCAAAGCCTGGTTGACAGTAATCATCGGCATGGAGTCGAAGACGTCGATAACGATGTTAACCGGAGGTTAGTGTCAACCCGGCTTTGAGCAACCGACTCTTAAAGCTTCAATTTACTCTCAAGCTGCTCCAAATAGTGATGAATATTCTCTTCTCACGCGGAAGCTATACACGATATAAGCGCAAAAGTTTTACGCAATAAATAGAGCGCATAACTAACACGGATCTATAGAGGAATTCTGCATCACTAACAGTTTTCTCACGTTGTTGAACAGGACGGGGTCATTAGATTGCGTACGGGCAGAGCAATTTTTGACCACCCTGCTTTTCTGCAAGGAAATTGACAAGTAAAGAGGACTTCTCAGAATCGTTAAGGCGTAGAACTAAAAAGAAGTCGGGTTGAAGACCTACAAGGAGCAACAATTGAAGGATAAATGCTCTGTTAAGAACTAAACCGCAAAAGAAAGAGTAAATTTCTGAATCATATCAGGTCTTTTCTGCACGTTACCGAAGATTTTGTAACCGGAAAATTTTATTACCAAAAAATGTCACCAGTTCTTATCACCGCGATTGTAGGTACGTTGGTGATGCAGTTAAAATATTCAGCAATTCAGCTATGAAGAATTGTGGAAAGTTTAGCATTGCATATTTCACGGAGAAAAATTTTGTTTCCAGCTTATGAGATGGTTAAAAAATTTACCGGTTACAAAAGTACACAGAATCCGAAAAGGGTTCAAAAATTGACAGGAACCTTATTTACCGGTTACAAAATTTTTATTACCAGCGCAGAATAGACCTGTTAGTCATTACAATTTTTTCCACTAGGCAAGTAGAAACCCAGTATTCGCTTTTTCATACTATTCTATTAATTGCCTAGGATATTTCCATTAAGAAAATATACATGCTTTTTGCAACTTCTTATTTTTTGGTTTTCTGCAAAAAAAAAAGTGATTTGGGACCATAGTGCTCTGGTCCAAACCGCCAAAAATAAACGAGGCAAAGAAGTGATCAAACAATGCAAGCGGGTTTGTACTACAACTCAGTAGCAGCAATTCTTAAAATCAGTTTTTTTAATTTTCATTTATTTTATAATTATAAATATTATTTAATTTGAACTGATGTTATTTTTGTTTTTGTTATTTCACATAATTATTTCACGTTAATCTAATTTGTTAGACTTAAGTTTTAATTAAAAGGGCCACAAAAACTATAACACATAAACATAAAAAACAATAAAAGTACTAATTAAAAGACCAAAATAAAAATGTAAAAAAAAATTTGCTAGCCATAGGATTCAAGCCAACTCCTAATCCGCAATACTGCCGTCTGTCAGGGTACAAGTTTGATCGAATCAACGGCGCCGTTAATTCGGCTCAACGTTGCCGTCTGTCTATGCTTTTATTCGATCTTTACTAGGCTTTACCCATGTATATATGTATGTACATATTATTTCCCCTTTTCCTCTTTTAAGTTCCACTGCCACTGCGTTCCATGCCAACTAAAAGCAACACTGCACACTTCAGTGTGTTTCATTTTTCACCTTTGCGCAGCAGAGCCGCTCTTTTTTGTAGGCGATGCGCATTGGCCTCTCATTTGTTGTTTGCTACTCTTGGACGTTAGTTGGTTGCGCTGATTGCGTGCGCCGTCGTTGTCGTTGTTACGCGTTAATTAACCAATTTAATTGGGTTTTGTGCGACTCCTTTTAGCCAAATTTCGTGGCTAAGTGATATCTACAATACATAATTGCAAAGTGCAATACGAATTTGTTAAAACGAAATCGGAAGAAGAAACAAACAAAAAAAAAACGGGAAAATAAACAAAAGTGTGCATCCGTATTAGTTGAAAGTGATGAAAATAAAAACGGAAATCAAAGGCAGTTAAGGGAAACTGATCGGGCTGACTGCAGTTTGTAAGAGCCACTAACTAGCGAGAGGGCCCTTATTAGCCGTACTATTTGCTGCCAGCGGCATATTTTGTCACTGCAGGCGGAACAGGTGTGTGTCTTTCTTGTGTTGCGTTTCGAAAATCACTGAATATTTGCAAGCAAAAAAAAAATAATAATCAGAAAAAAGTTAAAAATAAATACAATACTGCCTTCGCTGATTACTAAAAGGTGTAATTGGAAATGTAGATACATACATATGTATGCAAGTAAATAAATCGTATAATCGAAAAGTAATACTCAGCATTTAATAATAAATTTGCAGTCATACTTGGTGTTATAAAAATTAATTATCAACTCAAAGAAAAACATACATGTGCTGATAAACAGATAAAAAGTTGTGTTGCCGTAATAAGTAGAGTAAAGTGTATACCTATAGGAGAGTGAGGCCATAACGCTCAACGTTCTTTCTAGTTGTCGCCAATAGCAACAAACAAAAGGCATTGTTTTATATTTTATACCGGGAAAAAATAATAATAAAAGTGTAATGAATTAAAAAAATTAAGTGTGCTCAACAAGTGTAACGAAGCAAAAGCGCACCCTCAATACCGAACTCTGCGCGCCAGTGAACGGGTAAACTTAAGCGCACTTATAAAGTACATAACGACATAAGTGAATACATATGTATGTACATTTGTTTGTATGTTAGCTAAAAGTCATCATACCGCCGGACGGAAACGGAAATTTGAGTTCCTTTGAACGGCCAACAGGTTTTCGGGTAGTAAGGAACTGCTGCTGAACGATTGCTGAAAATTCATAAAATGAAGTGAACTTGGCGAACTTAATTTATTTTTAGCATTGGAAGCATATATTTTTTCCCTATGGAAATGCATTAATTTCTTCTTCTGCGACCCAGACAGTAACTGGTTTTATACGCCGAACTGATTTGCTCCATTAGCTAAGAAAAGACACAACAACGGGTCCACAGACAGATTCATTCACAATTCAACAGCAACAATATACAAAACAAAGATTACAACAACAAGACTGTACGATAAACTATCGATCGATCGCACGATATATGTACATATGCTAATTGGGATCGTGTCACACCTTGGCAGCAAGCAATAAGCAAGGAGAGCCTGCGCTACAGATACAGTGTAGTGCAGTACAGTAGCTACCAATAGCTTGTAGACCAGAGCGCACGCTCAAGTGTCGGCATTTCCGACTTCTAATATACAATTTAGGGACCATTGAAGCCGTAAAATTGTAAAAAAAAAATAAATAAATGCAAGAAAACAGAATCAGTTTGAAGTGTGAACCTAAACAAAAAGTGTAAAATAAAACTTTTATATAAATAAATACATACACGAATTTAAACAAAAAAGTGTCGAACTTGCAATTTCAGCACACTTACACACAATTAAAGCTGTTTGCATTACACTTACACACACACACACACACTTTTATGCAATCACATACATATGCATGTATGTATGTATGCACGTGTGTTGCAACATGTGGCAATATGCTGATCTTGGCTTTATCGCCGCCACATTAACGTCGCTGTCGTTGTCGCCTCTGTCGCCGCCGTTGTTGGTTTTATTTTCATTCGCGTCGTCAAATAACAAAAATCGCGTACGCGTCTCGGTCACCCGCGCCTAAGCAAGTATATATGTAGTTATATAGTTGCCCAATGCAAATCACACGTTCTGCTGTATTGCATAGCGCAAGCAAAAAGTAAAAAAAAACTAAAAAAAATTTTGAATTAACAACAAACACTGTTATTAGGCCAGGCGGTATTCGCGGTCGTCATCGCTGTCGCTGTCGCCGTGTTACGCTTGATCGAGCCACGCAAGGCAAGTAATCGAACTAGGCACTGAGCTGGCTATCGATAAATGCAGCAAATACAATTATATATATGTACATGCATATATATTTAATAAAAACAGTAAAACAACTATTTACAATAACGAATTGAAGCTCAACTATTTACAATTTAAATTCAAAAAAAAAATTTTGTGCATAAAAATTAGAAGTTGTATCGCTTTTTTGCAAATTTTAAGCCGTAAGCAGAAAGTTGTGCTCCTAAAAAAACTCATTTATTGTGTTTTGTGTGGAAAAAGAAGTGCGTAATCGAATAAAATAAGCACAGAGCGACAAGTGTGACATTCTACACTTTCGCATATCATTTTCTTGCATCGAAAATTAAAAGGAAATTAATTTTTATTTACACATTCAACGCTCGAAATGGCGTTAAACAGTCTACACCAACAACATCATCATCATCACTCGCATGTGATGATGTGGTTAACACTGGGATTATTTCTGTTAATTGCTGTGCAAAGCAACGAGGCGTCCATCACTGCTGGCTATGTGGATCATGGCGATATGAAAGGTAAGTGATTAGATCATTAGGTATGTGAATAATAGCACAATATGTGCCAGAACCTAAATACATATGCAAATAGTACCTCAATATGGAAAAACCTTAACTCAGTATTTATCTAAATCGATGTTTTTGCAAATTTCTATAGATAACTGCCGAAAAAAGTTAATCAAATTTGAAAGTTACGTCAACATTAAAATCACAAGTTAAAAAAAAAAACATTCGATGAAAAAAGGCACAACTTTTCGTAAACGATGAGTAAAATTCCCATGGGAATAATAATTCACTCTCATGCTCACCGTCTAATTAGTAATTATTCCACGATTAAATTAAGGACGAGTGAGAATTACTATTCTCATGCGAATTGCTTATTCTCATCGTTTACGACAGTGGTCGGTATACTATCGCATTCAAACGATTCACTGTGCGAGACTGTGTGAACTCAAAGCATTGCTTTTGTATACGTGTGAAACAAATATGTACTCAGAGAGCGCTCAGTGAGCTATGATGGCCTTTATTAAAATTTTGAACAGGGCTTTTCTTAGAGCGAATGCTTTCCTCGAAGCTCTATTTTCAATTTGTGAATAAACCTGGTCTAAAGATCAGCTATGTTAATGTTTCCAAGCAACATTTGTGTAAGACAGCCATCTAAGCAGGACTCTTGTGAGAGGGCACTTATTTTGCCCGAAATTTCCCCTACTTTTTTTTCTAGAAATGTGACGTTAGTAATCTTTCGTGGTACTTACACTTTTTTCTTTATGATTGATCACTAGCATAACCTCTGCAGCTGTCATTATCTTCACAGCCGGTACTGATCCTTATGTGTCTTAGTTCTGTAAGACCTGTAAAGTAAGGCTTGCTCAGAAGCCTCCTTTTGTCCCTGCAGAACGCTGGCCAGCCGCAAGGAAGATGTTCTTCAGTGCTTCCTCTTTCGGTGTGGTACTTAAGCGATAGGAAAGATTCGAATTCAGTCTATGAAACCGCAGTTAAGAATGGTTTATATAAGTTTTTTCTGTCTAGTTCAGCTACAGGCTAGTATGCAGCTCTAAAGAAAAGTAAAAACTCCATATAAAATGACGTATAAGAATTGGCTAAGAAATTTTCTTGTGTCAAATTTACTTAAGGCATTAAGTACGCAGTTCTTAAGAAAATTGCTACGATTTCTCTTACGGGTTTCTAAAGTTTTTTTTGTGAAAAAAGAGCACAAGGCAACCCATGTTTGCAACAGAAATATATGCCCGTTCCATTATTTCTTGTGGAAAGAGTGAGGCAACAGGCAATGTACACAATTTTCATCATAGTTGATGCTATCTCCCTGATCTCTTAAACATTAGTCACTCGATTTCTCAGAAATTGGGCAAGAGTGATACACCACCATTCGGTCTGGTTCAGCGCATGACATACGAATGGATGAAACTAGTCTTTGAGTTCTGTAGGGGTGATATCTGTGGATGAATTCAATATGAACTATATGCTCAGCTTTTTAACTGACAGCATTTGGGCCTTGCTTTATAAGTGATGCTCAAGCGTCATCAGAAGGCATACAGTGCAGTCTTAAGTGTGGGCTTCTGGCTGTTATGAAGATTCATCTACTTCTTTCTATTAGTCTCCAGCAAACCACCCAGGCGCATCATAGTTTAGAACCAACCGACTAATAGTCTACTTTGTTGTGCGATCTCGGCTATATAATTTGTGGACGTTTGTAGTTGTGTGCGCGGTGAAGGAGATTATGCCTAAGTTCAGCTTGATCTCCTTCGTTCGGATAGTAAAATGGATTGTCGCTAGTTTTGTAGTCGTCAGGGCGCATTCGTTGCTAGTCGCCGTCTTCCGTCGACATTCTACAAAGCCAAACTACATGAAATAGCTTTAAATTATAGAACAAACATAGATAAATGCTCTAATATCGAACAGTTTGTCATGTTCGGTCGAAAGAAAGCTGTTTTATCCTAAAAACTATTTTAAAAAAAAAAAACTTGAATATGTATAGGGATCATTAAAATTAATCCCAAATTCGTTGAATCTCATATGAGTAAAATAAAGTGAAGAGGAAGCTAAAGAATACCTTAAAATTTTACCAAAAATTATGCAACTTGCATTCCCACAATTTTCTCTACTCCCCAAAAACAGCATCCTTACCAGTAAAATTTCACACACGCACGCACTTCAATTAAAGATTATTATCTCAGAATTCTCATTAAAAAATACACATTTACTAGTAATTGTAAAACTCATTAGCTGATAGTTATGCAACTTTCTTCATAGTTATTCTCGAAATGCAACCGCATCCGTAAAAGCAATCATGCAACTCTAAATCGAATTGCATCACTGCTGCTGGATGATCTCTTCACTACCCACACTGTTGCGCAGCTCTGTTTCCATTGCGATTACATGATTTCCCTAATCGCTTCCGTATCTCTCAGCATCATCAAGGATTGCTGGAAACCCAAACAACCAAATTATTAAATGTACGTCTCACCTTTTTGAAGCGCAAATACCTGCGGGGAAAGAATGTAAAGAAACTCGCTCTTTTCCTATAAACTGATCGATCGTTTCTTCTATGCTTCGATAGCCATAGAAGATGATCGACAGCCGGTGTTTTGTGATTTTGTATTCTAGTAAAATACAAAGCAAAATTCATCATTAGAATCAGCAGTTCAACAACAAATTCAACGCATCAAAACTCAAGCTGTGAGCAAAGAGAACAACATCTAAGAAGAAACGAAATCATGGTGTGAGCAATCTCTAGTTTAAAAAAATGGAGTGCGTTTGAAGAAAAAAAGCAGCGATCACTAAAAATGTGAACTGCATCTGTTCCACTAACAAACAATCTGCTCGGCTTACTTTGCTTTGTTTCTCGCGTTTCATTCACATGGTGTGCCTCACCTGTGACAGCAGTAGAGGGAGGATCACAACGACATACATACATACGTATGTACATATGTACATTCATAAACCCAAAAACCGAAAATAATGCAAACCACCATTACCCTGCAGGGAAGCCGCGGACTAGTGAATCAAATTTCTTGTTCCGTACTAGATATTTATTGCCAAAATTTAACCAGTCCGATAGTAACTAGATCACCGCCAGTTCAAAATTAGTGAAATGTGATACTTAAAAAAAAAAACAAATTTTATATCACCTTTTTCATTAGAAGTCTATATCTAAGGTGACGAATTTAGAACTGGTTCGGAATTATAGAAAGAGGGATGCAGAAGGAACGAGATCTTATCTGTCGAAACTAGAACCAGTTCGGAACTATAGAACAAGGGATGCAGCGGGAGGCAATTGACACTTCCTAGGACATGGTCATGTTAAACTCGCCAGTTACATGAAAAGGAGATTTATTGCGAACCACTACTGGGTCTAAATGTTCTAGAAGCGCACCAGTTCAGAACTAGAGATTTTCCCACAGGGCAGCAACATCACATCCACACAAATAATGCACCACCACCACTTTTAAAAGTCGGTATTTATGTATGTACATAGTTGTATTTGTGTATTTACAAACGTCCGCTTATTCTTTCCGCAGGTATGATTTACCTGTTCGTTGTACAAACTCGGGATTTTGTGGGTACAGTGCCTCGTACAGGTACATGGTTAGTGAAGTTTCTCTTGTATATTTGCTTTTTTCCATTGTGCAGGATAACCAGAGGTCGCTGTCTATGTTTCCACGTTTACCTTTTTTACTCGTATTTGTTGTTTGTATTTTATTTTGTGGACATTCGCCGGCTTGTTGATTTTTGCTTTTGGCTTTGAAGGTGTGCACTCATTCAAAACTGTCGAGTTTTTCAGCTGCATTGGCATTCGTACGCATTAGGAATGAAGGAATTTTCTGGTACATACATAGATACAAATATACGAAGGAATGTGTAAAGCAATTCATAATGTCTTTGGATTCCTGCTGGAAACTTGTTATTTGTTCATTCATAGATCGCCACTTGGAATTAATATTCTGTTCTCTAGTTAAGCCAGTTTCCAAACGAGTTTGGAAAGCATACAGATATTTATGTATGAATGTATGTATTTAGTTATAGAACCTAATCAATAAACAGTACAAGTTCTTTTTGGTTGTTTGTGTTTCCGACAGGGTAGGAGTATGATGTATTGTGGAACGATTTTCCGTCATCCCTTGTCAAATTTGGTTTGGAGACAAACCGGTTTTTTCCGTTGTGCTATCTTCAGTGTCATTTTTCGTTCGTGAGAACAGTATAAGCTTATGGAGATAGACGCAAAGACTCAATATATATATATCAATGCTGTTATTGAAATAGAATAAAATTGTTCCAAAAAGTTTTGGCTGAAAAGACAACCCTTGACCACACATAAATCAGGCCGTTTCAGATATGTTGCCCCAACTGCGGTGGAAACGCCCGGATTTCATCTGAAATTCACTTTTTCTCGGGTTCTATTAAGTTTCCGATCCTATGTTAAATAATGCTACTTAGCTAGGTGGGATCTCATATGTGAATGCAGATGGCAGTCTCAGCAGGAATGAACTTAAAGCTTCACCGCATTATATACTACCCATAGTTAAACTCAAGCCTAGTCTTATTTATGACGACATATTTTCCGGGAATGTCTATGTACAAACGTTTGTCGGTTTATTCACATCAACTGTGGCTTGGACTTTCTTTTATTGGTTCTCTCATTTGCTACTTTACTTTCCTTGTTCACCTACAGGTTTTAAGTTCAAGGCTATTATCATTATCATCGGAGCAGCATTATCCGTACGTATGAGATTGGACATCATCGGTAGCGTTATCGGTATTACAGTTTACCAATTAGTATTCTTTGGAACTCATCGCGTAGGTAAAGAGTACTATGGATCTTTCGTAGAATACCTTTTCCGAATGGCTCTTCATCTTTGTTCGACATCGTCCATTTTACAGCGCCGAAAACGACGAGTATGTCAAAATATTTGTAAAACGTGATTTTTGTAAGCCCTAAAAGGTTTCTGATTTTCAATTTCCTTTCGAGTCCAAAGTACCACTCTGTGATTCTCTCTGAA